GTTACTTTTTTTATTAATCATGTGCTTAGATGATTTTTATGGGTTTAGTAGGGCCCAAAAATGGCTATTACGGTAGTATTCTCTAAACTCTTCTACTAGAGATAAAGATAAGAGAATCATTAAATTTCTGATGGCCATGGGTACATCTTCACCACATTCTTTTTGGCTTACTCATTTTTATTTTCTTTTATCTTAAACACTTCTAATATGGAAATCTTCTCATGGATTTTGATGTGCGNTAGTTACTAAACTTAGGGTTTTTGATTAAGCATGAGTTTCTGTTTAATAGAATATTGATTTGAAAAGAAAGTTTTTTCATGAGTTTTTATGAGATCCAAAATTGTGTTCTATGGTACATTGGTACTCTTGGGGTTCATCATAAGGAGAATATAAAAAAATAATAAACCCAACTTGAGGTGAGAATTTTCACATTTTTTTCCTGACTATTATTTTTTTTTTAAGGTCGTCATAGAAGCTCTTGGAAACTGAGTTCTTGACTTTTGTAGGTTAGGTTCTTAATTGAGTAAGGCTTAACCATATTCATGTTGACTTGATTTGCAGTACAAAGCCTGCAAGCAAGGATGCTCTTTGGAGGTAATNAGTGATCATNTTATTATTGNTTATGAATNATGTATTATCGATTACAGATGGAATGACAAACGATTCTTCCCTCTAGATCGAACATTCGGNAGAAATGGTTGTGAAATCCAAACGTAATTGGTCTCTTTGTGATTATAGGGAATAAATTTGCAGCCTAGGCTTGAAACTTATGTAACATGCAAGGAAGAATTTTTGATAGACTATTTAAGAGGACACCATAGTAACACGTTTCAATGAATAATTCAACTACTTTTTTTTTAGGTTTTTACAATTTAATTTAGTCTTCTTTCTCTCCTCCGACTCCACATATCACTCTCTGTTTCATATAAACAATTCAAGGTTTATGCTTAGATTTCTCATCTCGAGAAAAAGATGATCATGTTTCTAATGTTAATCTTATAGAAGATTTTTTCTAACGATGAAAAGAAGAGATTTTCCAATTATGTAGAGAGCTAAGAATGTAAATTTCTGTTTTTTCTACTTTTATGTTATTAATTCATATAAAGATTTAGTCCTTTTCCTTTCAATTTTCTATATTATTAGTTTTGCGGATAGTATAACTTTTGTTCTAAGTAATGAATTTTATGTTNTTCTCTTTAGTTTTTTCTTATTCGGGTTTTCTTTGTATCAATTGGGTTTTNTATTCTTNTTTTTTGTTGACTATGATCATTCTTGTGTTTTGTATTAAAATGTGGACTGTTTTGAAATTGTTCTTTAGGATCTCAGAGGCTAATGCAGAAAATTTGACACTCATTTGTCAACTCGAATTTGTTATACTTCTAATCCATTAAAAAGTGCATTCTTACAACTTCCAGGTCACCGACACAACAAACATAATTAACCACCAGTATAATGGGCATATCTCTCTCCGCCGCTAGTTAGACACAGTTGCTTTTGTTCTATTGTCGTTGTTCAGAGCCGCATGTGTTTTATGTTATAAATGTTTTGGAGTTGTTTGGGTATAAATATGGGTTTGAAGAATAATAACATGGCGAGAAACAAAAACGGTACCTGACAAAATTTTCTTCTCGATTGTTCAGAGAGAAGTGTGAAAGCTTTTATGAAGTCTTTTATTCTTCGTTTACTGTTTTAAAATGTCAAAATTTGTGACTTTTGTGGATTTGGATTTTTATTTTATAGTTTTGGTGTTAATCAATTAATCCAAAGTTAAGACTCTTGAAAATTTCTCTTTTAGAAAACATAAAAAAATCAAATTGTACGTACAACGTAATAATACATAACTGTTAGGTTTCATTTTTTTTTGTAAGTAGTTGTCTTTTAATATTGTTAAATAATGTTTGTGCAATAAACTGTAATGTTTGAAATAGCATTTGTAAAGTTTGGATGTTTATTGGTGATCGGTCTAAAGTCATACGAAATATAGATGAAAACTCCGGTAACAAATTATCTTTTTTTACGAACCACATGAAGAAGTTAGAGAAATTCTTATTAAGTTTTCTTGTAATAAATCTCTCATAAGACTGAACAAACTTCGAAGAAAACTTTGTTGGAAATTCTCAGAAGAAAACTTGGAAGTCAAACCTTCAGCCATAACCCCAACATCAAGTTTCACCTTCTACTCCTGGCGGTGTGGTCGTTCTCATGGCCCCATGGCTTCCACGGATGATTTTCCACTGACGGAAATAAATAAATTNTTACGGACGAAATCATATAATCTTACTCTTACGTCCTAAAAGTGTCATTATNTNGAGTTTGAGTAACAAAACTTTGANTTTTGCNTTTTATGATTCTGATTGAGCTATCTCACATCACTAAGTCTCAACAAATAAAAANTAACAAAAGATAAAAGTATTGTTTTAAAGAAAAGAGATGANAATNNATTTTCAAACGAGAGATTNTTAGAACTTTTTATTAGAAGTCTTTTAACATGGGAAGCATATATTTTTCTAAGTGCCTAAGGTTTTTATTAAAAGAAATCAAATACACAGTAGTATAAAATAGTAATTAAATCATTTATATGTAATTAGTTTTTTATATTTTATAAAATAAAATTTTGTATTATCAAGCTCTATTATGCAAAAGTTTAAATTATACTTCAAATCATATTTCATAATATTAATGTTTGTGCCAAATTTGTTTAAAATTTTCAACTGTGAGAACAATAGAGTATGTTTTTCTCGGAGTGTCCCTGACAGACTAGGCTAGATTTATATTCATATGCCGTCAAAGTAAACACCAACCACTCTAGGAAAGATATGGACGATGTGACTAGACAAAAAGTATTGGCCGAGTGTGTCATTTTTCTATAAATACTCATAAAAAATAAGAAAGATAGGAAGAGAATAGTCGAGGGAAAAAAGGAAGACGAACACAAGAATCAGAATG